TTCTTTGCTCTTAGATGTGACATGAGGGCCAACTTGGGGGAAAAAAATGTGAGCTCAAACAAGAGGGATGCTTTAAATCGATGAATGAGAATTGCCTGCAGAGTCACATGCACACACATGCATGCACACACACTGCAGATGCACGTGTGTTGGGAAGGAACGTGAGAGTATCTAGGCAACCTCAGACCCGCCTAATAAAAGAAAAAGAAAACTCTCTCTTACTCTTTTGTTTCTTTTACTAAATGTAAAGCTTAGAAGAATCCTAGCTGGATAAGAAAGTTAGGTTTCTGTATATCTGATAAAAGTGACCTTTAACCAGAGTGGTTTATGTTTTTCAGACAGCCTACACAGAGAGAGTCTGTCTGGAAACCAGGTGGCTTTTTTTTTTTTTTTTTGGTCTATTCTTGGTGACATTTATGCCGGGAACCTTTCTACTTAGTGGGTGCCAGGAAGCTAAGAGAGGATTCTCAAGGCAGGTATGAAATGATCTCCTTCTCTCTACAAATGCCCAGGTGGGAGCAGCTGATTCACCAAGAAACATCCTTTGAGGATGTACTCTGTGCTGGGGACTGTGCTGGGCTCTGGGCTCCAGAGGTGACAGGGCAGGTGTGCTTGCTAGGCTCACGGGGATTAAGAGATGCTGGGAAGATGGACATTGAGCCATAGATAGAGGTGTGATGGGAGCCACCAAGGAGACAGGACTACCAATGTCCATGACAGGGGCTCTGGCCTAAGGATGGGTCTTGGAGAAGGTTTCCCTGCAGGATGGTGAAGGGGGGCCTGAAGAGGGGTCAGGGGCAGCAAGGTGGGGCTAGGGAGGAGCTTCCAGTAGAGAAGGGGCAGTCAGACAGGAACAGCACTGGAACAGAGGCCAGTGTGTTGGGTAAACAGAAAGGTCAGTGTTGGGAGGGGAGAGCGAAACTGAAGAGGAATGCAGGGACCAGCAACATGCTGAGCCTTGCAGGATTGAGTGAGTGCTTTGTACTTGATTCCAAGAAGCATAGGTAGTCATTAAAGGCTTAACCCCAGGGCAGTGGCATGGCTACTGAGGGGAGTAGGAACTGTGGTTCATGCCTGGAAGCGGAGAGCGCAGGTAGGGCTGTGACCATGGTCTCAGCAACAGGCGATGGTGACTTGAGCCAGGGTAACAGCAGTGGAAATGAGAATGAGGTTTTCAGAAGGCAGAATAGGTAGAAGTTGGTGGTGGATTCGATGGGGTGGGTGGGGTTAGAGAGGAAGAAATCCTGATGCCTTCCAGGAGAGCAGTGATGTCGTTTACTGGGACAGGGTGCCCTGGAGGAGAATCAGGGAGGGGCAGGGAAGGGACAGAGCTTACTTATATGGAACATGATAGGCATAAATCACCTGGGAGGCATCCAAGGGATGTCCAAGAGAAGAAGTCAAGAAGGCAACAGACTTGGAACTCAGCAGAGAGGGCTCTGTCAACATATCCACTGGGAAGCCTCGGCAAAAGCAGCTGACTAGAGCTATGGGGGTGTGTCAATTTCCAGGAAGAGAGGGCCTAGGACGAAGCCCTGCACCCTTCTACTCCAGCGGAGTTGTTGCTGGCAGAGAACTGAGTTGTTGTTGAGGGGACAAGAGGAAAAGGAGGAGAATACGGTGTTCTGCAAGCCAAGAAAGGAACGTATTTCAGGAAGGCAGGGTTGGTCACTGTGCTGAATGCTGTTAAGCATTACCTTTCTGAAAAAACCTTTGTCACCTTCTTGATTACAAATCTCACCACTGCCTCCAAGAAAGAGTGTTAATTCCTTCTGGAACACGAGGCCTCTCACACACGTCTGCCACTATGCCTCTGCAGACTCGTCTTCTATAACTTCTCCCACCCAGTGAGGTCTGCCCACCAGCCATGCTGACAGACCCTCTGCCGACACCATGGTAGGAGCGTGTCATTTGCTCTCCAGCATCCATTCTCCCTCCATAAGTTTTTGTTTGGCGATCTATCCCATTCCAACCCACTCCGGTCCATCTGGTTCTGAGATCATGATCCGCAGCCTTTGGTGTGAGGCATGTGGCCAGGTCAACTATGATGAGTGTGTCACCCTCCCCTGACAGTGACTGATGAGGAGTAGGGACAGGAATGTGACTCAGTTGGTCTGATCAGAGTGAATCTCCTGGAAGCTCTGGGAGAAAGACCTCATACTGTTTTCCAGTGGATCAGAGTGTAAAAGGACATGGCCCCAGCAGTGCTGGCAGCCACTGGGTGATTAGGAGAGAAAAGCTGATCTGAGAATGAGGTTAATACACAAAACTGAGCAGAGCTGAGAGACAGAGAACCTGGCTCTGATGATGACATTGTATGATCCTTGCTTTGAGCCAGGCCAGAAGCCAAAATGAATCTGGAATTTTGAGTTGTGAAAACCAGTGAATTTCCTTTCTTTTAATTTTTGCTTAGGGTCAGGTTTTCAATGACTTGCAACAGAGTGAACACATGAATTCTAACTAATAGATGCATGCTATTCCTATTACTCAGAATGTCTCTCTCCCTCTCCATCTGGAACATTTAACTGTGGCTCCTCAGCTCAGCCTTTTCTGACTTCTCGGGGCACAGGCCTCCCACACACGGAGCTCAGTATTGCCATATGTCCAGTTTGGTATATGTCAGCTTTCCCCACTAGCCTGAGGACAGAGATCACGTCCCGTTCATTTTTATACTGCTGATTCCTCAATATGTGGTTGACAATAATCACTTATCAAATGTTTTCTGAATGACTCCCTGATTGAACAAATGAATGAGCAAATTACAAGCAGAGGCTCAATATCAAGAGGTAGGGAGATGATGAAGAAAGAGAAAAATGGTTAAATAAATGCTTAAGCCCATGAAAAATTAAGTGCATCCTGTTTACAATAGCAAAGACTTGGAACCAACCCAAATGCCCATCGATGATAGACTGGACAGGGAAAATGTGGCACATATACACCATGGAATATTATGCAGCCATCAAAAACGATGAG